ATCCTTAATCTCAACACTTCCGTTCCCATCTCCCCATTACCCCCAACCTACCGTAGTGCACTAAAAGATCCTAACTGGCATGCTGCTATGTGTGATGAATATAATGCCTTGATAAAGAATGACACATGGGAATTAGTACCCCCCCTCCCCCTCACAAAACCTCATCACTGGTAAATGGCTTTTTCGACATAAATTTGGCCCAACAGGTGAGTTATCCAGGTATAAGGCCCGCTGGGTGGTTCGCGGTTTCAACCAACGTTTTGGTGTTGACTATGACGAGACCTTCAGCCCCGTTGTCAAGCCTGCCAATGTTCGTGTTGTCCTGAGTCTCGCTCTATCTCGAGGATGGCCCATTCATCAGCTTGATGTCAAAAATGCGTTTCTTCATGGCCAGCTGCAGGAGACCGTCTATGCTAGCCAGCCCTCTGGGTTCCAGGATCCCACTCGCCCTCACTATGTTTGCAAGCTCAAGAAGGCTCTATATGGTCTCAAGCAAGCACCACGCTCTTGGTTTCACAGGTTTGCAGGTTTCATACAGACCATTGGGTTTAGAGGGTGCAAGGCCGACACATCCCTATTTGTTTTTTCTCAGCCCGTGGGCACGGCCTACTTATTGCTTTATGTCGATGATATCGTTCTCACAGCATCCTCCCCAGCATTACTACAGAGTCTCATGCAGCAGCTTAAGGCTGAATTCGCCATGACCGATATGGGTGATCTGCACTTTTTTCTTGGGATCAATGTTCACCGCACAACTTCTGGTCTTTTCCTCCACCAGACTCAGTTTACACACGACATCCTTGAGAGGGCAGGGATGGTTTCTTGTCGGCCCATCTCGACCCCGGTGGATACAAAGGCGAAGCTGTCTGCGTCTGCTGGCACAGCACTCTCCGACCCCTCTCTTTACCGGTCCATCGTTGGTGCGCTACAGTATCTCACCTTCACTTGCCCTGACATTACTTATGCAGTCCAGCAGCTCTGCCTACATCTCCATGCCCCATGTGACGCCCACCTTACAGCCATGAAGCGTGTTCTTCGTTATCTCAGTGGCACTGCCACTCATGGCATTTACTTGACGCGATCTGCCACCGACTATTTACAGGCTTATTCTGACGCTGATTGGGCAGGCTGTCCTGATACGCGGCGTTCCACATCGGGCTACTGTGTTTTCCTGGGGGACAATCTTGTTTCATGGTCGTCTAAACGCCAAGCCACCACTTCTCGCTCCAGCGCCGAGGCTGAATACCGAGCTGTAGCAAATGCTGTTGCAGAGACCAGCTGGATCCGAAATCTTCTTCTTGAGCTCCAGCAGCCAGTTCGTCGTGCAACACTTGTCTTTTGTGATAATGTTAGTGCAGTCTACCTTTCGTCAAACCCGGTGCAGCATCAGCGCACCAAGCACGTTGAAGTTGACATACACTTTGTGCGTGATAAGGTGGCGCTCGGTCAGATCAAAGTCCTGCATGTTCTGTCATCTTCTTAGTTTGCTGATATCTTCACAAAGGGACTGCCCTCACTCTTATTTCTTGACTTCAGAGAAAGCCTGGGTATCCGACCCCAGCACTGCCGACGTAGCCGGGAGCATGTTAAATATATATAATATATTTAATATTATTGTATTATTATTGTTACCATATTTGTATAGGTTTCCTAGATGGTCTCTCCTACCATAATTAGGATTGAGACTTTTGTATATATACATGTACTCTCCTCACAAGTTAATCATTGAAAATAATCCTTCTTCAGGGAGACGCATCACGGAATCATCGTGCCAAGATTGTGAAGTTATCGTTTTGTCTAAACCGACACTAAAGGTGCGCCATTGACCCTAACCTTTAGATATATATTTCATGTTCATATATTTTTATGCATTTTTTATAAACTAGATCAATTCGTTTTGATGAAAAAAACTTAGATAAAGTTCGCACATATGTAAGTAAAAAAACAAAACAAAATCTCAACTTGGAATAATAAACCTTCGGCAGAGAAAGAAAAAAATGTTATATATACATACACACACATGCACAATAAAAAAAACTTAACATTGGTAATTGGATTTTTTTATAGCCAGTGGTGAAGAAGTAAAACATTAGGTATATCATATATGTATATACTTGTAGAGTTGTAGTTCGGTCCATACAAATAACTGAAGGAAATACATACGTACTTATTTATATATATCTTCTTGTATACTACTGTGATGTAAAAAAATAGAAAAAAATTTAATTCTAAATAACAAATGAAGGTCATGGCTTAATCCTTTATATAAAAATTTGAGAGTTTGATGTCTAGAAAATTAACATGTGGCACAACATAAAGCTTGGGTTTTTTGACACATAATTGAATGTAACATGCATCTCTCACTTCTTCGCCCAATTCACGAAAAATACCTAAAGAAAGTACTAGGTACCAGTCTTCTTCGCCGGAATGATTTCTTCTTCGCGAGACCTGTTGATTTTTCGCCAAAATCAAGCAGTGTCTCACGTTTATGCTTCGCAAAACGAAAGTAAATCTACACCAACTCGTTCACAGAAGGAAAGTCTCGAATTGTTCAAGATTGAGAGAATACCTTATTGCGCTCGGATTTTTCAACGGTTCAAAATATAGCTAGGTTTGTTTCCAGAATTCATATGAAATTGTCATTGATCCAAGATACCATGTTGAAATTCATCACCTCTTTTCTTCTAGGTAAATCTCATAAAGATAAATCCAATATGATGACGAATTGTGTAACCTTGGTTGGGAACCTGAGTACAGACCCAAATTAAGAATAAATGAAGAATTTGTTTATG